GGGAGTGAGTCTTTGTGTGTGCGTGTGCGCAGGTCTGCAGAGCATTTTTGTGAGGTCTTGGGGGAGTGGAATTTGTGGGGGCCGATGTCCACCTCCCCGCTCCCCGTGAGTCATGGGGGGGCGCTACGTCCACCCCCTCCACTCCCCCCTCCTCCTCTTCGGCCGCCTCTCGCCGGGCTCCCGCCGATCCTGTGATCGGCCCCCCCGCGCCAGTGCCCTCTCTGAGGGACATATCTGAACTGGCTCACCACCGTCTGGGGTTATCTCCCACACGCTTAAATCACACCACCACCACACAAACGAACGCGGAGGCGTGCATGCGTGCGCCCCTGCAGGCGCGTTTTTCCCTCACAAAGCTGGCGCTGACCAAAAGGAACGGCGGCGGTATGAATATGCACGCGCCCCTCCGGGTGGTTAAGCCCTAATCCATGTGCCCGTAATGCTAATGTAAACTGAAGAGAAACGGCGGCTGTATGAATATCTATAGGTGCGTGCTTCCCCAACGGCCAGCGTTATGTTCCCCTGAGGACCCGGCAGCGTAATGCAAACACGCGGTGCAAACTTGCTGCGTAAAGCGCGCTGTGTAAACACGCTGCACGCGAGCGCTTACCACCGCCAAGTTTATCAACAGAAACGGCGGCGGTATGAATATACACCCCCCCCCCACCCCCGGATAAACCTTAATACACTGTGCAAACAGACACTAATGCTAGCGGAAAAGGAACGGTGGGGATAGGACTATGGGGCAGCCTCACCGTTAACGCTATTTCTACTGTGTAAACGCGCTGCGTAAAGCGCGCTGTGTAAACACGCACGTGAGAGCAAGCACGTGCAAATGACGGCGGCCGTGTGTGCTGCAGTACACGCGCCTCACGCGCACGCTCAAATCACTCACACCACCCCCACGCTGCAGCCCTGCGCTTGCGCTCATGCCGGGCACACCGTCTCTCCACGCAGACGCGCCCCACACAGATCGGACACTACGCTGAGGTTCTGCCCACACACACAGAAAACACACTACACCGATATTCTGTACTAGAGTTTATTAATGGCGCCAATACGCATTACCCGGAGGAGGAATATTTCGCGAGGAGAGCCTAGCGCAGACATGGGCAAAGTATGGCCCCCAGGCCGTATATGGCCCGTTGGGCTTTTTAATCCGGCCCGCCGAACTTGTCCAAATACTATTATTAAATTTAATTTTACGTTTCTCCTGTAATGCCCTCATTTCCCTATTAGATGGCGCACTTTGACCGGGAGTTACAACATGTTTTTGTATTGTTCATGTAATTTGTTAAATTGCCTTGCAAATACATGCTTTGCTACCTGTTAAAGGCCAAATCCTTTCATGTAATGATTTTTACATGTCACTTATATTAGTTCACACAAACACTCCATCCATCTGTTCCTGGCTCGGCCCCTCTGTCAAATTTTAGAACCCATTGTGGCCCGCGAGTCAAAAAATGTGCCCACCCCTGGCCTAGCGTAACTATGAACCTAGCTACTCAAACGTCCTACCACGTACCTTGAAACTGGACTCGTGGCATCCCACGGATGCTGAGAGAGTCAGAGGGAGAAGGACGAGAGAAGACTTGCCCAATCATTGTTTCGCAGCAGCACTCGCTGGCATCACACGAATGCTGTGAGCGGCTTGAAGAGGCAGGACGGCAGGCAGGGAGTGAGTCGTGACGGCCCGGAGGTTGTAGACAACTGACCGAATCGTCCCGGGGCTGCCACCTTCATACTCATGAAGACATCCAGATATATAAACATAGACAAAATTTCAACCGAGAAGATGGATACAAATTGAACAATCATTGGAAGGATGATATCAACCAGGTAATGCCTTAACTTGTTGTTGTTTCCATCATTAGCTGCCGGTTTACTAGCACATTTTTATCTGTTCTTCTCTGGCTTCCCACTGCTAGCCCTGCCCATGTCCCCCCCCCCCCCAGCCACATGTCCTCTTCCCCTAGCGCTCATGCGCCCCCCCCCCTCAGCCCACACCTCCCCCCCCCCTTTTCTCTCGCTCTCCCCCCTTACCTCCTCCCCCCTTTCTTACCTATATAACCTCTTGCTACGGCAGCTCTCTCGCCGACTTCAGCATTTTCTTGCTGTGAATGTCCCACCTGATGAGGGTCGCTTGTGTTGCGATCAAAACGTTGATTTGTTTTATTTTATTTATACCTACGTGACGTTACCGAAAGAACCAAAGAGTATGTTTGACCACGTAGTTCGAGAAGCTTTCCATGGCTGTAACAGAGGAATTTAAATCTGGTACATCAAAACTAAGCACCTGCCTCTGTATTTTGTGCCACGAAACACTCCACCCCCTCAACTCCCCATTGGTGATGGAGCAATTGTGGAGAGAGTGGAGAGTTTCCCATACCTGGGCAGTGTGCTTATGACCAGCTCCGGTTTGACAGCAGAGGTCTTGCTCCGAATCTGTCGGGCGGCATTATCTTTTCATCGGCTGCGCAATGTTGTGTGGAAGCTACCTGTCCTGTCGCTCCACACGAAGCTTCGGATCTTTTCGGCCACAGTCATGCCCCCCTTTCTCTATGCTTGTGAACCGTGGACCCCTCTAATGGAACATCTGCGCCGGTTAGAAACATTCAGGGTGGCATGCCTCCAATCCATCCTGGGTTTAACCGGGCTGGATTGTGTACGGTGCTCACAAATCCTTGAAAGATCTGGACACATTCCCATCAGTGAGCTCCTCCGGCAGGCAAGGCTGCGTTGGCTGGGTCATGTAGCCCGTATGCCCAGCCACCACATGCCTAAGCAGCTTCTGTTGGGTGGCATCGTGGGGGGAAAAAGGCCACGACATGGGCTGGAGAAGACATGGACTGATGCGGTATGGGAGGATGTACAGCTGAATGGACTTGCCGGAGCTGAGTGGACTTGCCGACGACTGGTACCAGCGGTGTCAAGATTGGCCTCTATGGAGGAGCATCGTTAAGGATGCTACTGGCAGTTGGAGGCAGTCGCCCTCCAGCAACAACGAAGGGCAGAGAAGCGATGCTCACGAGCAGAGCACCGGGCGACTAAAATACAGCAAGTTGGCATAGTAGGGGGTACAGCTGGTGCATCTGCCAGTCATCTCAGTGAGCCAACCCATGGCACTTGCTGGATCTGTCCAGTGTCCTCCTGTCAGCAAGCCCCCGACACTTCACGTGACCTCAAAGGGCACCTGACCTGGCACAGGCACCGTGGAGATGTCACAGTCACTTCGTGACGAATGGCGAGTTATAGTAATAGGTTTTACCCTTTTAACTGGCACAAAAACTGACACCTTTATTCAAGGCATCATGTTTGCAATAACCACAACACAAGCAGTCAAAATGCAAACAAAAGAGACAACTCTGATAATATGCACTGTCCTTGAATTTGATTGGTCCACACCCGAGACAGCTTTTCTTAGAGCCTAGTCTCCATTGGTGTTGGACCAGCAGACGCCAAAAGGCGTACAACTCAAAAACAACGCACTATCAGAGTATTGAGGGCTCGGGGTGAGCATTTACATTATGAGACCTCCTTTGCCAGTAACAAGATATAGTAATAGGTTTTACCCTTTTAACTGGCACAAAAACTGACACCTTTATTCAAGGCATCATGGTTATTGCAAACATGATGCCTTGAATAAAGGTGTCAGTTTATGTGCCAGTTAAAAGGGTAAAACCTATTACTATATCTTGTTACTGGCAAAGGAGGTCTCATAATGTGAATGGCGATTATTGGTGGGTTATTGGTGTTGGTGTGCGCGCGCGGACGTGTGGGGAGCGGTAGTGTAGCGGTTATCGCGCAGCTGTACGAAAGCAGCAACGAGTTTGATTCTTGCTCACGGCCAACACCAGTATCTGGTGTGGTGTGTAAACATCACCACCGGGGAAACAAAGGCAACCGGGCGTGGCGCTGGCCACCCACCCCCTCGTGTGCCATGCCAGCCTTCATGTGCGCTGCTCGCTAACAGCACTTGCCCCAACAGTTTAAGGCTATATGGGGTTTTTTTGTCTTTGTGTGTGCACGTGTGGGGGCAGCGGTAGTAAAACGATTAGCGCGCTGCGCTACCAAACTGGCGATCAAAGTGCAATTCCTGCTCACGAACACCAGTGACGATTATCTGAATGGGAACTGGGCATCCCCTATGTCGACTCAGCCTCAAATGAGTACGTGGTGCAGTTCGTAAACATCGCCATTGGGGAGGCAAAGGCAGCCAAGCGTGGCACTGGCCACTCACCACCTCGTGTACTGTGCCGGCCTTCATAGGCGCTGCTCACTAACAGCACTTTCTCCAACAGCCTGTTCAGGATACACGGGGGATCGTTGTCGTTGGGGTGTCGGCAATTGTGTTGACTCATTGAACCCCTTCCGACGACAAGTTAGCATGACTCAAGGTAAGTGAAAATAAACTTTTTTTCTGTTACTATATTTTATTTACTAGTCTTTTTTTACAGTGTTACATGCAAATGTGAAATATTTCTTATCGAATTGAACAATGCTTCCCTTTTTGTTGAACCGTAACATTTCATAACACTTACCTTACGGACATTTAAATAGTGCATTGTTCCGATTTACGAACGGATCTCAGGAACGAATTAAGTTAGTAACCAGAGGCCTGCCCGTATTCTCGTGTGTGCCAGACCACCAACACCGGGAGGTGAGCGCAGCATGTTTAATTTGAAACTGTATGCGAAGATTAGGCACATCACCTCGTCTGCCCGCTTTGTCCTCAAGTCTCGCAGTAATCCCGTGTGCCACGAATAGGTTTACTATCTTGCAGCTCCTGTGAACTCGACAATTGTGCATTTTTACTTTATGCGTACGCTTGTTAATTCCCTTTAATCATGGCTCGCAAGCGTCATGTTAGCAGGGACCACTTTCCTCTCTCATTACATCTCCCCCATCAACACCACCCTTCGTCGTCAAATCAAAGGTAATATAAAAACACATTTATAATACTTAATAGTTATTGTTAAAGGTAAGAAAAAAACACCTCATTGTTCTTTAAGTATTATTTATTGCAGTCATCGTTTTAAAGAATGTAACACCTCGCAAATAGAGGGTTTATTGTATTATCCAAAAAACCATGGCTCTCAAAGAAAGTTATTTTCATATTGGTTTATTCTTAAACATTTTTACTTTTTCTTGTACATAAAACACAATTCCAGACAAACGAATTTTTTTTTACTTTCGTTAGTGTCTTGACAAACATAAGCAAATAAATTATTTAATTTCATATGTTAGGTTGAAGGAAAACTACTTTTTAAAAGAATGGCATCTAACAATGGGTAGCAGTCACCTAAAAAAAACGTTGCGTCACAAATCAAATCAGTCTAAAAACAAGGTAAGGGGCCATCCATTTAGTACGTACGCGTGGAAGGGGGGTTAACTCAAATGCGTACGCTTGCGTATGAGGGGTCTACTGACAATGTACGTATGCATAGGAAACAGGGGGGGTGAAGCCTTGATCATAATAATGCAGCTGGTGGTGGACTGTTTGCGTCAACACGTTAATATTTCTGGACGTGAAAATGGAAATTTCCAAATAACTTCCCCTTCAGTGCCTCCGCCGGAAACCTGCAAAACAACCACGTAATTAAAACATTTTAACGGATTAGGTTGTAAATATTATGAAAAATACCGTGCAATGGGGTTACAGTTCTAATATTCAACTCGTCATTCTACTTCTGGATGAAGCCCCCTCCCCACACTGTACTGGTTATGTGGGTTGTTTGACCATCTTTTTTAATGAAGGTTGGCGAGGGTCAATTGCCAAGGACAAGTAAAGACATCACTCAACAGATATTAGCCATGGCATGGAATTCAACTCAGATTGTCAGGTTCAGAGTACAGTGCGCTTACTAATGTGCGCTTCTCATGCAAGCAATTTGTTTCTTTTATCTTAATGATCAGTCATTAACATCACAACATTTACCTTTCTTTCCCTTCTTTTTAAGTACTTTCTTCTTTTTCTTGTGAGGCCTCTCATCCTAAAAAGTACACAAATCAGATTTAACTGGAGGGCTTACAACAAAACTTGCTACGCAGCAGTTCCAGTGAAAACGCCATCCATTTTACATTACTTCTTGCCAAAAAAATACAGACCAGATCCCCAACATGCACTCATGCGCCGATTTGAAAAATTATTTCACAAACCAGCAGCATAACACCTCATCCCACACTGCATTTCCCTTTGGCTCTGCCCGTAACTTTTAAATAATTCGTGTGTACCAACCCGTTGACCAACCAACACCTACTTCGTCCTCTCCCAGCGTTTGATCTCTGGTCAGCGCACTGATGTCGCCAAAGTGTGTGAGCGAGTCCAGCTGCGACGTCATGGCCAAGGCGCGCTTCCTCTTCTGCTGCTCCTTTTTGGGCACGTTGAGACGCACCATCATCGCCTCCTCATACTCCTTTCTGCGTGCCCACAGTGAAAAACGGTCATGAATCCTCCATCCCTGTGGCTCCCCCACCAACTTCTCATTCCACAGCATTCTACATCAACGCTTTCTGTGAAGGCAATTGAGGCTGGAAATGGGAACACTCATGACAACACAATGGAGTACACCAGCCTATATTTTATTATAATTAACTTATAAAATATTTTACCTCGTAAATATACAGGATTTCTGTAGAGGCTCCCAGTTAACATTCACTCAATGGGAGGTCACTCATTTTCCTTGTTATCCTATGCATTTTCATTCTCCCATAGCATGGAACTCCCTTCTCCCAGTCATCTGTCCTGATGGCTCTTCCTGGCCTTGATTCAATTCCAGACTACACCTGTATTTCTCTTCCAACGGCTACCTTGCTCTTTGTGAAATCAAGATGCCCTTTCTGTACATCTCCAGATGCAATCATATTGTCGCTATTCAAATGCAAATTGTATTATAGACAAAACCCATTTAAAACAAATCTGCGTTTGAAAAGTCCAACGCCACAATGAATAAATGCAGGAATTCCCTGCTATAAGTTATCGCATAATGCGTCGCTCTGCATATACATTGCCGATTAATTAGGGATATTTTTTGCCCAATTATTAAACTAGGGACTCACGTGGTGAAAAATGACTATTTTGCAATGTAATAATGCACTGTACATGTATAGTGGGTACCGCCGAAATTCCCTCAACCCACGTGCTCAGCCTCCATCATTGTGCAAGTGTTAGGTAAAGACTCTAGTGTTAGGTGACAGTTTATATAACAAAATACAAAGGGCTTCCAAAGATGAGTGCAAAATGCACAGTGAATTATAGTGCCTCTGGAAAGAATGGCCAAGGAAATGTATTAATCTAGAGGTTAAATGATATATTTTAAAAGTTTTGAAGGTGCTTAAATTCTTGACCTACCCATGGCCTCGGTGAAAACTTTTCAAGTTAATGCGGTAAAAACTCTAGAATGTGCTTCCCTTGAAGTGCAATTAAAATAACTTGTAAAGCAGTTGTGGAACTACAGAAACTATGGAAAGACTTTTACGTGTCTGGATTGAAGATCAAAATCGGCATAGCTCTTCAACCATATCTGGTAAGTGATCTAATAATTTGAATATCAGCTAGGAATGCAACCCCTGATTTTAACATTGTATATGGGAAATTAAGGTCACTTTCTCATTAACACATCCCTTACGTTTCACAGGGGTTTTCCTGTATATGAATTGCATGCAAACATAAAGGCAGTTAGGCAAAGATATCGGTTTTGTCAATGAAAACAATTCCTTTAAATTCATTGGTATATGGTTCTTGTTGGTGTTTAAGCATGGCAACATTTGAGCAGTTTTTATGTCATCAAGTCTTATTAGCAAGGTGCGGCCTGTTTATCCAACACAGCTAAGTAGCCTGATGTATGCTTAAAAGCTACGGAGGTTCAGATTTCAAGATGAAGCAATTCGGAGAGAAATTTTGGTTGCCGTCGTGATGCTGCCCCACCACTTACCTACTGTCCCCAACCCACCACTTCCATTGTTGGGCAGGGACACGCCCCCCACCCCCTTCTACAACCCCCACCACTACCCCATACATCAAGGCTCAAGGATTTCCACTGAACTCACGGTTTTTCATAACCCTGAGCATCTCATGCCCATGCAATTAATTCGAGTTTTTTGTTGTTGTTTATCTGAATATAATGCACTCAAGCATATTTATTGCAGTGTACCGGCAGCTGTTGATGGTTCAGGTTCCTATGAGAAAGGGAGTGTGGCTTAAAGAGGGGGCAGGGCCTGAGGAGAAAAGAACAGGGCCTGAAGAGGAAGCCCAATGAAAACAAGGCCCAAAACAACTAAAATCCCTGCAAACTCTCAAAACAACTCTGCATATAGGTGTACTTTAGCTTTCACTTCCCTTTTGATATAAGAAAATGAAAGCATACACTCAAATAAGCACAGCAAGCAGAAATAATATAATGCAGTAGATCCGGCCACAAGCCAATGAGTGCATATAACACTCAATTTCTGTCCGTTTGGCAACCTAATGCTGCTCCCTACAGCCGAGTACAACAAAGTGCACCCACCTTCATCTAATCTCAAATTGCAGCAGCTACGCAAAGCAGGTTTGAGTCTAGGTAGTGCGTGGACAGGTGACCACTAATGACAAACAGTTTATCATAGGCCTGCATGGCTACGTGATGGGAAGCAGGAGGCAATGCGGCAGAATCCACAGCTGTATTGTTCTTCTATGTTCCCCACCTTCACAGACCCTCAATGACCACCAAAGTGGAATAATGTTAATAACCCTCATGACTCACCCAGCATCGGGATGCCTTTATCCAACAGAAGATGGGAAAAAAAATGTCTGTACACATGCATTCATATTAAAAAATGTACTCTTTAAAAAAGTAAAAAATTACCAGGTAACGGCCACTGAGCGAAATAACATTTTCATACGCGACCTTGCCACAAATCAAAGTGCTAAGAAGTGGCTTATCACGTGGAAATGTATAGTCAAATAAATCTGAGCAACAACCCCCAATGGGGCTCCGGTCACCTGTGCTGGTCCTCACGGCTGTGGCGCATGCGGTGCATGTTGTATCCGTCGCGGATCTCCTCAGGCGCCTCCGAGTACTCCTCGTGCAGCTCACGAATCACAGAGCTGCTCAGCGCACGCCGCCGCGCGTCCACCAAGCGCTTCCGCTGCCGGTCCGCCTCCGTGTCATCCTGGTCTGCGGATGCAAAGAAACACACACATGAGCATGAACGGATAGACGGACAGACCCATCTACGGCCATATGGAAACCTTGTTTTGTCAAGTGAAAGCACACCCGGGATCTCAAGGACGCCATGTGCAAAGGGGTTTGAGCGATGGTTGCTCATCGTGTTGATCATGAGTAAACAATGGCATCAGTTGAGCAGTTATTGAGTTCATAGTTTGAGTCCAAGATTGCCAATATCTTGAGGTATGGTTGTAGCATTATAAAACACAATCACTGACAGAGGCATGTGATGGCCAACCATAATGTGTCCCAACTCCATTCCTCGTAACGCCCCCAACGGTCCACTGCATGCACTTGGTAATCACGGACAACTGTAGTAATGCTTGGGGAGTTGCAAGGACTGGAGTGGAGGAAACACTGAACTAGCAGCACATACATACCCCAGGCTCAACCGAACCGATTCAGAAGCCAGACGACGCTAACCAGAGGATTAAACATAGTAATATTAAAGCAACGATGAAAGGGCAGATGTGGAAAGACCACCGCAAGAAGACATCAGGGAAATGTTTACGCCTCAATGGCCCAAACGCCAAATACTTTTCTGCCCCCCAGTATTGTCACCCGCCAACTACGACCAGGCCTAACCCAAACCTTCGTATCAATCCCTCGTTTTACTGAATCAAAACTACAAAACCACGTCCAATAACCCAATTCTTCATTTAAAATTACTATCATGCAATGTACAATTTTATAATTCTAATATTCTTTGGTTCTTTCGGTAAAGTCACGTAGATAGAAACATAACACAAAGTTAATATTAAAAAAACACACACTTGGGCTACGCTCATCTCTAAATCTTTATAAACAGTTTGCCTTTAGAGGCTAACCCCCCCCCCCCCCCCTTTTCCTGATGACGACCGCTTGTGTTGCGATCGGAACGTCGTGGTTTTGTTTTACTTGATTTTGATTTTATTCAGGTTAGAACCAGGCTACAGTCTACATTATAGACTGTCAGTACACTCACCAAACTTAATAACCAGGCTAAAGTCTACATTATAGACTGCCAATCACTCTGATTTAGAAGCAGGCTACAGTCTACATTAGTGTTTTTTTGTTTTATTTATTCACTTTATTTTTTATTATTATTCTATCTACGTGACTTTACCGAAAGAACCAAAGAATATGAATTCCTGCTCGTCACGAAAGTTTTAAGTCAAAATTTACAATTGCTGTAAAGCACCTTGGTAAAGGCGCTATATAAACCTCATTAAGATAAGACGACGCACGAGTCCCTCCTGTGCGTGTATGTTGGAACTTCTTTCGAACCGTGCGTAGCCAACCGCGCTAATCGGAAGTGCGGGAAACACAATGAGCAGGTATCAATATCTTACTGTAGGGCATTGCTGCAATGTGCGGAGGGACATATCTATTTTGTTTCTTCTCATCTTCCTTCGTTGTCTTATCGTCTTCTTCACCGTCTTCATCATTCTCATCACCCAGCTGTCACAAAGCGCATACCCAACAGAACGGGGGAAAAGGGAGGAAGGGTATGTGATATGTCTTTACCTCAATCCTATCATACCTTTTTTTCCATATCACCCTCATCAGTCAATGTACAGTAAACCCTCTCTATCCACGAGGGTTAGATTCTTGAAAACGATCAGGAATTCAGAAATCGCAAATGCAGAAACTTTGTTCCAATGGAAAAAATGGGGTTACATTCCTGGTACAAGTGAACATGGGGGGGAATTGTAAATGTTTAATAACAATGACCACAATACATACTATATAAAGACCAATGTGTTTTTTATTACATTTACTGGTGATGATTTGATAATGGAGGTGGTGGTGATGCTCAGAAATTCAGGAGGGTGACTCAGTAAACTCTTTTATACCAAAATGTATGAGTCGACTGCAAGTACGTATCAAGTATAATGCAGAAATATACTTTTTTCACTGTCATCTAAATGTAAAATTCTGCACGCACCTCCCCGGTGTCGGTGGTCTGGTACTACGTTCACTCGCAAATACTGGAGTCCGGTAGGTCACGAATACGAATAGGGACTAAGTAAACATTTAGGAACTCGTGATTATGCGAAATTCGCACATAGCCACCACATACCTCATGGTTCCTACTGACCTTATCAGCTCCACAGTTACTTTACTTAAATCCTTGAAAGTGAGAATTCACTCAGAAATATGCAATCTGCAAAGCATTACAGCACAAGGTCTTAAAATGCAGAATAGAAGGCTGTTTCGTGCTTACCTTGCTAACCATGTTGTCAGGGTTAGGCTTGAACCTCAGTGGGTTATTCTCTCCTACAAAAAAGTAGAACAATGTGCAAATACATATAACACGACAACTTGGAGGATAGCGAAGTTGAAAATGCCACCAAAAAAGCCTCGCATGGCATAAAATAAACGACACTAAATGCTTATATACAAATACAGAATTGTATATGACTGCCAACCAACAAACAATTAGCTTTTGATTTAAAGCTTTCGTGACTGCAGTAATTCATATTCTTAGCTCTTTCGGTAAAGTCACGTTGAAGGGAAACAATAAAATAATAAAATATATATAAAACAATAAAAATTCTCACGACGTTTCGACCATAACAGCTGATGACGACCGTTTGTGTTATGGTCGAAACGTCGTGAGAATTTTTATTGTTTTATATATATTTTATTATTTTATTGTTTCCCTTCAACGTGACTTTACCGAAAGAGCTAAGCATATAAACAATTAGCTCTTTTCTTACAGATGTGCAAATCATCCCTGGTTAAAGCTTCGATGGTAAGGCACTCCCCGTTATAGTGCTATAAATGTCACACGTCTTAATACACCAATGTGGCGGCGTCATCAACGTGGCACCTGACCGTCATTTCAAAGTCTCGTTTCTCATTCACAAAAGCTACATTCTCATGTCAACAGCAACCGGCAAACAGCCCAGGAGTGTCTTACTTTAAAAGCACAGATTTTCTTCAACCCCACTGAACACACCATGCTCTTTATAATGCATATAACTTACTGGCATAAACAAAGCGAGAGAAGCTACAATAACGGTTTGAACGAGTCGATAGAAAGACAAGGGGGACTTTCCAAAAGCATGTAGCAGGGCCCAGTCGACGGGAAGTCAGCCAAGGAGCAGAAGGATGATGGAGTGTCAAGGACATTAGTGGTAGGCATCGTGCAGATCATAAAAATGTTTACCCCATGATTAAGGGATGATGATTATTATTACGAAACTATGTACATAAACACACACGGTGGTTTCATTTTGTGAAGTTCAAAGCAAAAAAACTGCCCAAGCTTACCCATGCTGCCAGTGAGTGTGGTCTTCACCAGCTTGTCAATCTGGTAGCGTAGCTTCTGTTCTACAGGACGCATCTTCTCCAGCACCTACAGGGAAAACGTCCTACTCTTGAAACAAGCCTTTGGAATTTACCATTGGTCATTGCTTCAGGATGGAGGTAAACATTGCTGACACCTCCAATTAGCACGGTTGGCTACGTACGGTACATACAATCATGTTCTTTACGCAAGTGTTGTTACAGTCACTGGGCATGTAATGATTCATCTCCGCACCCTCGATATTCAATCAATTGTCAGGATTCGGAATTGTCAAGCTTCAAGAATACCTGCTTTTTGCCACTATGGTTAATAAATATGATATACGTAGTAATCTCCAGTGGTTGCATGGGTTACACAAATGTATGTATGTTGAACTTCTCACACCAAATGTATCCAACCATGCTAATCGGAGGTGTGGGGTAAGAACAAACTAAGATGATGATGATGTACACCATACAATTTTCCATTCTTATACATACAATTCTATAGTGTTCATAAAATGTTTTGAGATGCATCAGTATATACCGAGATTACCATTAATAATCACAAGGCATGGCTCGAAGTAATGCAACAAATAAACAATTACTTACAGTTCTTACTTCCACCAAGCGGAAGATCGCCGGCTCATTTACCAACGTCTGTCCTTCCACTTTTTTAAGCATCACAAAAGTCAGGTCCATCAGGTAGGTGAGCAGCATCTGGTTCTTAACGTCCAATAAACTCAGCCCCTGTATGTGGATTCACAGGCAAGTGTCAACCAAGATCAGTGTTGCCAAATCAGCAATTCTCTAGCAAGAGTGACTCTTTGAGGTTCCCGACTAACATTTTTTTGTCCAGGTAACTTCAGTGAGAAATCAACTTACTTTCTGGGATAAGTAAATAATGCAGATTTAGGGGCAATTCCAGTTAAATATTGCCGATCCTGTAACAGTTAACTGTGTAATATTTGTTAAATCGTCAGGCATTATTGACTTTAGGTCCATCTCGTGACCTTTGTGACTTTTTGAAGTTCGTTTTGGGTTAGCAACAATGGCAATATATCCCAAGCACGTTCACAAGCGTTGAAAGAAACAACGAGACAACAGTAAAGTAAAAATGCCTGGCAGTAACGTACCTTGGACATGTCAAAATCTTCACTCGTGCATTTATTCCGAAGCCCTTGAATGTGCGATGTAACACTGGTCACCTGAAATTAAGAGCATCACGGATTAGAATAACAATTCTAAAGTGCACACTATTAATAAATGTAACACGTAGGCTTTTGCAAACAATGATTTCCAATTTATTTTTTGGTCAGATCGCATCATTGAAATATTATACACCCGCCTTCACATTTAGCAATTGGGTACCCAAATGTTGTGGATGCCTCTCCAAAATATCGGTGTGCTGAAGCGGTAATACACTGGAAGGTTTGTTCACATGACAACTGTATTAACTGGCTGCGTCACGTGGAGAGTGTATGCCACACATTTTGCTTATGCAATCTCACCAACATCAATTAAGAATAACCTTAATACACTTGATAATTGTGGTCATCTTCGCTTTTACCACATATCAAGATGTCTAACCGTGAACAGAATGTGGAATTACAGCTTCCAAACCATTAACATAACTAAAGTACAAATGTAATGTGCAACAAGTTTTGTCAATCTACTGCGGGGTGAGGGCCTCCCCATGCCACGTGGGTCGTGCGGGTTCAAGTAAAGTTCATTTTATTTATCCAGGTTGAGAATTCAAGAGACCATGATTAAGAGTCTTACTTGCAAGAGTGACCTGGCTCACCAAAACGACAAAAGCAAAACAACAAAACCAAACAATACAAATAAAACAAAATGTTGTTTTATTGTTTTATTTGTATTATTTTATTTTCCTTCTACGTGACTTTACCGAAAGAACCAAGAATATGAATCCCTGCAGTCACGAAAGCTTTAAATCGAAATATAAAACCAAACAAGTGAAGCTGGACCTGAAGGCAGGGCGCACGCACACGTGGATGGATTGTACCGTACAACAAATTATTTTTCTGCACTGACCTCTGCTGCCCACAAAGAAGCCCACTAACATTATAACAACTCTGGTTTCCCCTGTAAATGAAACATTCGATCTCAGTGGGCTTCTCGTGATGTAAGCTGCTGTGATTGCAGCAGTCTTGATAATTGTTGGACACTCTCTAGTGCTCTTTACAATCATTTACCTGCTCCTTCAGCGACTTCAAGAGGCTTAACGCCTCCTTGACGTCCTTGTCTGGATATGCCTGGACACAAAAATGAAAATTGCACACGTTCATCACAGACTGCATAATAACAACCCATATACACACACACAGATTCAACGTTGGGGTAACGCTGGTCGAACGGTTCCAACCACACGCAAACTTTGGCGTGTTTAACTGGGAAATCTCATGTTTCAATATAGGACTAGTCGGTAACGTTAGTGAACTAGACTTCTCATTGGCCCCATGTCTTCAATGCAGTAAGAACACAACCCAAACAATTTACAGCCCTGCGCTAGACGAGCCTTTGACCACACGTCACACAGAATTGGCCCGGTTATCGTCACAACTCGGAAACCAAGCAGCTTTGGGCCTGAGCAGTGTGGATGGGCGGCCAGCATGCGTAACACATGTGCAGTAGGCGTTGTGGGTATATATGTATAACTTCTTTCGCACCGTACGCAACCAACCATGCTTATGGGAGGTGCGGGATAAGTGAAGAGCAGTGTGGCACAAAATCATTATTGTATTGTACCCCCCCACCCCATCCCCAAACTCCACCGTCAACAACCCGCACTGACCGGAGCGGTGAAGTATGGTTAAAATCAGCCTTCACACTGCCTGCAACGGGGCGTGGAGGCCCTCATTTCACAGTGGATTGACTGCACGTGGACTGCTGCTACCGCCACCTCTAACCATCAATTAATAACTAACACGAACTAAATAAACGCCCCGAGTCCTCCGCACATGCGTGTCCGCAGTTCCAGCTGAACACACGTGTGCGAGTACAGTATACAGTATCAAACAGCGCGCCCCGGTCCTCCTTGAGACCGCTCCGCACCACGCAAGCGCGCAACATTATCGGACAGGGCCAATTTAAAGCGTTGCTTGTAAAGAATGTTTTACCTGCGGAGGCGACCAAATTAAACAAAACACACACACGGCGAAGAAAATTCAACATTAGCGCAAAAAAATGGGGGCCGAACAACAAGAGTAACGTTACAGCAATCTAGATTTTAAGTTTCCGTGACTGCAGGGATCCATACTCTTTGGTTCTTTCGGTGAAGTCACGCAGGCATAAAATAAATCACGACGGTTTCGATCGCAACACAAGCGACCTACGTGACTTTACCGACAGAACCACGGAGTAACGTTACAGCACTCACCGTGTTCGCCGCCATGCCTCTGGAGTGGTGCGCAACGTGGTGCCGAGCGCGTCCAGCACGCCTTACCAGACCAGAGGTTTTTAACCTCCAATTACGAGCGCTTGTCAGAACAAAGGTTTTTTTGTGCCTCCGGATGGGACCTGTTGGCAGCACGGAGGTTTTACCTCTAGATGTAAGCAATTGCAAGACCAATAATAGGCTTTAGGCATCGTGCAGATCACGACAATGTTTACCTTTTTCAACCTCTCGATGTTATTGTTTTTTTTTAAAGAATTATAATATTTATTTATACTGGAGGAATCCGATGAGCTATAAAGCTCTTTTTTCACAGATGTCCAGTAGGGGCGGGTAAGAACGTTACAACAGTTTTCAGTTTAAGTTTAATTTATTTGGTGCGCTATATAGCCCTGTGAGCCATTCGGCTCTTGAATCGAGTGCAACCGCAACAAAAACACGAACAAGAAAACATCTTAAAGTGATTATGTGACTTTGTGCAAACAGAAAATCCAAGAAAAGACAGCAAAATATTGCATAAAAATCACCGTACACCAACGCTGTGTGCAAAAATCCCAGTGGGACGCAAGTCAAACAACAACCACAAGACAACTTAAATTAAGGCCATCAGTCTAACTCCGTACTACAACAAACATGGCCAAACCAAAAAAACTTTTCTAAATCACCAAAATAAAGCCATAAAAGCAATGTAACAGTGATCATAGGAACTGTGACCGAATTTTCACAATAAACGACATAAACAACATGTAACAACCAAACCCTAGAGCCATAGCCTGGCTGCATGATTCACCTCTCGAAAGTACAAAAACACGATAGCAGTGCAAGGTTGAAGGTAAACAAATCACCCAAACGCATACAAAATCAAACTAAACCATCCCCATCCTACCGGTCAAAGCCCACTGAGGTATTCACTTGTTTTTCAGAAGCGACCTGGCCACAAATGATAGCTAAACAAAGTAGCTTTTTCATTTGGACATTAAATATGAACCTTATGGCGGAACCCCGGGGTCCCATAAGCCACGAGCGCTACACGATGCGCTAATAAAAGTTTAAAATTTTGGTTTCTTCTGCGCATTCGTCCTCGCTGCTTAAGCTTGGGGGCCGTCCATAAATGACGTCACGCACCTCGGGGGGGTTGGGGGGTCAAACATTTGTGACGATGTGTGACGAGGGGGGGGGGTGAGAAATGTGACGTCACACCAAAATGCGCAGCTTTAAATATAGACAACACGTTCTACTTAATTAAATAGACTTTTTAATTTTCGATTTAAAGCTTTCGTGACTGCAATGATTCATCTTCTTTGGTTCTTTCGGTAAAGTCACGTAGAATGAGAATAAAATAATAAATTGATAAAATAAAATAACACAATAATATTCTCACGACGTTTCGGCCACAACACAAGCGGCCTTCATCAGGTGAAGGGAGCGAGACTGTCTGGTAGGACAGCGCTGGAGTGAGAGAGCCACGTTCAGATCACGGCTTTTAAGCTGTGTGAGAGGAACAAAGAGCCTTGACGAAGGAATTAGCATAAAATTTAGCATTGAAAAGGCTGAATGATTAGCTTGTGACTGGTCACAGAAATAGCTATGTTAAAAGTTAAAGCATACACCTCCGCAGAGGCACCCATTGTTAAAAGGAATTAGCATAGAATTTAGCATTGAAATAGCTAAATTAAGGCATTCGCTTGTAACTGCTACAGAAATAGTTACGTTGAAGTCAGAGCATACACATTCACCGAGGCACTTAGTACAAATCAAAACAGGAGAATTTAGCATTGAAATAACTAGGCGAATTTAGCATTGAAATAACTGGGTGATTTGCTGGTGACTGGTCACAGAAATGACTACATATCTGAGCTATTCACAGTACTATATAGTGAACCAATAAAAACTAAAATATAAATTACCTTCATGTTATCAATAAACTCTATATTCTCCAATCAGCTAAGCTACCAACCATAAGTCGTTATATATCACAATGCTATATGGCGAAAAAATGGGTGGATTCTTACCCTCAAATTTCCGTACCACGGATAGCTACGGGCCCCGTTCAGACGGACGAGTTCGTCCATGGTCGGAACAGAGGAGGGGGAGAGAGACAGCTGCGAAGCCCTAGTATACTCCATGTTGTAAACCATACCATTAACCGTGGTGTGAGAGGTATTAAGAGGCAATGCTGGCGAAAGAGCTGCGGTCTGAAGGTCATCGTAAAATTACAATTAATTAAGAACAGAAATGATTTAACACATCTTTCCAGTGGTTACTAAGCCTGAATCCATCTTCTCGGTTGAAATTGTCTGTGCTTGTATATGTGAATGGCCTCATGAACGAATCTCTCATGGTAGCCAGTTGGTTTGCAAAGAACCTCCGTCTTGGAGAAGTCAATGTCATGTGAGCCCACTGAATTGTAACAGTGATCTGCCACGGCAGAGGAGTTCGTCTTACCGTGTTTCAAGTCTGCTTTATGTTCGCGGATGCGGTCCGAGATATGTCTTTTGGTTTCTCCAATGTAGCTACTACCACAGAGGCACTTTAGTTTGTAAACGCCCGGGTACTGTATGTCTGGAAGAGCATCTTTTACAGATGGAACTAAATCACGGATTTTGTGTACTGTGTTGAATCGGACCTGGATCTTGTGTTTATTCAGGATTTTGGAGATCTTTTTAGTGACCCCTGCAATGTAGGGTAAGGTGATGGTTTTGAGTGGCTCCACAAGAGGATCCTTCTTCATGACTGGAGTGATGGCTTTGCGGATTGTGTAGTCGGAGTAGCCATTAGCCCTGAGAGCCTGGTGTACGTGCTTGAGTTCACTGGTAATGTGTTCCTGGTCGGAAATGCATTGGGCTCTATGGTATAGAGTCTTGATGAGGCAGTTCTTCTGGGATGGATGGTGGTGGGAATCCGGTTTCAAGTAAGCATCTGTATGGGTAGCTTTCCTGTAGACAGAGTGGCTCATTGAACCATCATGTCTCCTTTTAATTAAGACATCCAGAAAGGGTAGTTTGCCATCTTTTTCGACCTCCATGGTAAATCTGATGGCTGGGTGTATGGAATTGATGTGGTCGCGGAATTGGTCTAGAGCAGGCTGGCCATGTGGCCAGATGACAAAGGTGTCATCAACGTACCTCTTCCATAAGGTCGGGCGTAGAGTGGCAGTCTGGATGGTGTCAGTTTCAAATTTTTCCATGAATACGTTGGCTACAACCGGAGATAGGGGGGAGCCCATTGGGGTGCCCTCAGTTTGTTTGTAGAAAGTTCCATTCCAGGTGAAGTATGTGTTGGTTAAGCAATGTCTCACCAGGGGGGGTACATCAGTATGCAGTCCTTGATGAACCAGGTCTTCAATGATAGCGATGGTGTCAGGTACCGGGACTTTGGTGAACAAGGACACCACATCAAAACTGACAAGCAGGTCGTTTGGGGACAGGGAAATGTCTTTGATTGTCGATACCAGGTGAGTAGAATTTAGTACCGCAGAGGTGGTTTTTCCAGTGAAAGGTCGCAGTATATCAGCCAGAAAACGTGCCAGTTTGTAGGTGGGGGAGCTGATAGTAGAGACGATGGGACGAAGGGGTGTATCTTCTTTGTGTATCTTTGGAAGGCCATATAATCTTGGTGGTCTGGCAGCAGAGGGTTTCAACAAGAACTGTTTGTTCTCATCAATTAATGCTGTTGAATCAGAGATAATTTTGTTCGTTTTGGTGACCAGGCTGTTGGTGGGATCTCTTTTTATTTTTGTATAGCTGCCATCGTTGAGTAGTTCTTGAATTTTGTTGTTATATTCTGTTTTGTTCATGATGACAGTGGCATTGCCTTTGTCGGCTGAGAGAACGACAATATCATCCCTCTTTTTTAATTGAGATAATTCAAAACGTTCGTCTTTGCTGATGTTGCTAGGTGGCAACTTAGCGTTTTTGAGGGTTGCAGCGATTTCAGATCTTGCTACGTCTGCAGAGATGTGACTCAAGCCCTTGAGTGCAACGTCGACATGGGCAATGATATCAAACGTCGTGAGAATATTATTGTGTTATTTTATTTTATCAATTTATTATTTTATTCTCATTCTACGTGACTTTACCGAAAGAACCAAAGAAGACTTTTTAATGTTTTCTCCTACAACATCAGAGTGCAGCGCCACATTAAATACGCACTACAATGACAATAGTTTAAAGCGATTTGAAGCATTACTTTTTTTGGGGGGGGGCAGAGCTTTGTAACGTCATATTTGAGGGGGGGGGGTCTGACTTTTTGTGACGCCGTGTGACGCAGGCGGGGGGGGGTGAAAAATCGTCCTAAATGGCGTGACGTCATTTATGGACGGCCCCTTGGACATGACGTCAGAATGATCCGCGCCAGGTGGGTCGCGGCGTTTATGTCCGCGGTGGGACGGAATCGCCGAAAATAAATGAATTAATTACGATTTTGACTTCCGTTTATTCGGGACCTCGGGGTCCCGCCATGAGGTGCATTTATCTCGTCTACATAATCTCAATGCCCGTTTCTAAATGTGGAGGGGAAAACCGGAGGACCCGGTGAAAAAATCTACGCAACCACAGGGAGAACACGCAAACTCCAAACAATACAGCAGGCGTCCGGGTCTGGATCGAACCCCAAGACCTCCCTGCATACCAGACGAGGAAGAAACATCTCTCCACAGTGGCGCCTCTTAAAAAAATAATAATATAAGTTTAAGTTGCATCCCGATCCAGGCGTCCGAGCCCCGAGTGCACTGCTTCTCTTCTGCTGCATTGCTTCCTGCCAAACAGGGACAGGGAAACCACGGTGCAATAGCGTGTGCGTGTGTGTGTGTGTTTTTGTAGGGTGTCTTTCCAATAAAGAAGGGGCCAGCCAACCTTTTGAACAGCTACCTTGGTAGAGTTCGCCAGTTATGAGCTCATATCCTTAGCTCTTTCGGTAAAGTCACGTTGAAGGGAAACAATAAAATATATATAAAACAATAAAAATTCTCACGACGTTTCGACCATAACACAAACGGTCATCATCAGGTGTGAAAAACCAACGGCAAGAAACATGATGACCGTTTGTGTTATGGTCGAAACGTCGTGAGAATTT